CGGAATTTTGAGTGTGAGAATCAGCTTGCCAAAAGTTGGCTTTGATACCATGTGAAGGAATATGATAATCCAACTCAATACCTTAAAGCAATGAATGTAGTAGCCCAAGACCTTTTTGTTTTTTTGAAAAGGTAACATATTTGTATTAATTAGAAGGTGGACTACACCAAACCCGTGTAACCATCCATAATTACAAGAGAGAGTACCATAAGAGATTCTAGTTCTCTGTAAAATCTCATAAATAATCTAAAACATCAAAAATACATTCACTTTCTTCTAAATACTCCTGTTTACACCAAAAATAATAGTGCACTAGACAGCTCATCTTCAACTTTTGTATAGGACTGTAGTTGTCTTCAAAACACCTTTGATTCCTTTCTTTTCAAATTGTCCACCATATGCATGCAGGGACAATCTTCCAGCTCTCTTTCTGACTGGATTGTTCACCATCTCTTTTCCAGCTTGCTAGAACTTCGCGAATTCTCCCAAGCATGACCCATCGAATCCCCCTCAGGTTGATGAATATCTTCAATAATTAGTCAGTAACTCTGCAGTGCAAAAAAAGATGGTTGACTGTCTCTGCATGATCTTCACATAGATAACATCTGGAGCCCAACTGATATCCTCTCTTGATGAGATTATCTTGTGTCAAAATTGCCTCTCTTGCTAAAAGCCAAGTAAAACATGCAACTTTGTATGGGATTTTGACTTTCCATATCAGCTTCCAAGGCCAACAACCAATCTGGTTGTCAGAGTAATTGTACTCCTTGTAAGCTGATCTAACAGAGAACTTGCCTTCTCTACCCCCTTGCCAGATCACACGATCCTCAGTATTTGATGTCCATGTGAATTGTTCTAGAGTGTTATAGAAAGCTGTCAACCTCTGAATTTCCCAATCGTTTAGTAGTCTTCTATAAGTGAGGTTCCACCCTGGGCCTGTCCACACCTCTCCAACAGATGATCCTTGTTGGTTCAGATTGTAAATGTCCGAAAAAAGTTGCTTCAGTGTTCTTTGCCCAAGTCATTTATCTTCCCAAAAAGATGTTTTCATTCCATTTCCAACTTTGAGATTGGATTTGTTACTGAACTTTGGCCATAGCTTTCTGATAGACCTCCACAAACTTACCCCATAAGGACTATTTACAGAGTTAATTGTCCAACTTCCTCCCATCCCATACCTTGCCTTGATTACATTCTTTCACAAAGATTGCTCTTTGTAGCAAACCTCCAGAACCACTTCATCATCAAGTCTTGGTTCTGAATTTTTAAATTCCTGATCCCCATTCCCCCTTCCTTCTTGCTGGCTGTAAGGATATCCCACATGACCAGATGGATTTTGTTCTTTTCACTGCTGCCTTGCCACAGAAAAGTTTTTCTCAGAATATCAAGTCTTTTCACTACACTTGCAGGCATTGGAAATAAGGACATCATGTAAGTAGGCATGGCATCAAGAACACTATTAATAAGAATTAGTCTTCCTCCCAAGGATAAAAATTGGCTCTTCCAGCTAACTAACTTCTTTTCACATTTTTCTACTACTCCATTTCAAATCCCCTTTGATTTGCTTTTTGCCCCAAGTGGCATTCCCAGATAAACTGTGGGCAAGACTCCTATTCTACGTCCAAGGATTCTCACCAAGCTATGTATATCCATTACTTCATTAACTGGATAAATGAAACTTTTATTCCAGTTAATGTGTAATCCAGATATAGCTTCAAAAAGAATGAATACCACTCTCAATAATAGCATTTGATCTCTACTAGCATCACAAAACACTAATGTATCATCTGCATATTGCAAATGTGTGATTTCCAGGTGATCTGATTCCCTAAAATTCACCCTGAAACCCCTGATCATGTTGTTAGCTTTAGCAGTTCTAAAGAAATTGTTTAATCCTTCCATTATAAGAATAAATAAGAAAGGTGAAATAGGGTCCCCATGTCTCAGTCCTCTTTGAGATGAGAAGAACCCAACAGGTGAACCATTAATTAAAATGGAGAATTTTACAGTGCTAATGCAGAATTTGATCCAGCTGATCCACCTTTCAGCAAAGCCCATCTTCAATAATATTCCCAGCAAGAACTCCCAATTCAGATGA